GCAATTCTGACTTTATAACTCGCAATTCTGACTTTATAGCTCGCAACTGACTTTATAACTTGCAATTTTGCCTTTATAACTCGCAATTGCGAGTTTTTATCTTGCAATTCTGACTTTATAACTCGCAATTTTGACTTTATAACTCGCAATTGTAAATAATTATATTTAAGTAATTAAATATAATTTGTAAGTAATTATAAAGTCAGAATTGCTAGATATGAACTCGCAATTCTGAGAAAAAAAGTCAGAATTGTGAGATAAAAAGTCGCAATTACCTTGTTTTATTTTTTATTCAGTGGCGGAAACGGGCTTCCATAAGTAACACATTGAATTAAACATGAAATTTTGAAGTAGAAAGACTGAAATAGCTTCTTTTTTTTTTTTGCCAAATGTACTCCAATAATTTTTCTAAAAAAATTTAAATAAAACATTTCCAGTGCAGTTAAATTAATTACTTGTCTGAAGAATGATTTTAGAATGATTTGTTTTGCTTTGCATCATGCCTTTTGTAAAATCACCCCACGTCTCCTAGTTGCTGCACTTAACTCAATGTGATTTTAGTTACCTTTCTGCTGGTTATCAGGGATATCCAGGTCTTTGGTGGGCAACCACAGAAGAACAGCGTTATGGGTATCTTCCTCTGTGAGGGTTTGACTCTTAATATCTGGGATCTTTGCTTGAAATTCCTCGCCAATGTTAATCCGACTGTAAAGAACATATAAAATACAGTTATTGAGTATTAATTCATTTTATATTTGAACGATTAATTGTTTAATAAATCAAGTAAGCAACATTAATCCAACTACAAAGAACACATAAAATATAGTTATTGATTATTAATTTACTTTATATTCAGACATTATTTAATTATTTCATAAATCAAGTAAGCATTTGACAGTAAAATGATTTGCAGTAACACATTGTTTTGCTGGTGTAGATTGAAGGTGAAGAGTGTAATGTTTTTATGTTTTGAAACACTAATGAAAATGAAACCTCAGATCATGTGGTTTTATTGAGGGAAAGTGTGATATTACTTTTCTGAGTGAATAAACTCACTTAAAAAAAAATGAAATGGGAGGGAAAGTGTATTTCAATGCTTTTTCATTTGCTGGAAAAACTTTTGCTTTCTCCCACAAAAAAAAAATAAATAAAAAATTGGTAAAAGTTTTGTGAGAACACAACATTTTTCAAGCAAATGCAAACTTTCTCGGGAGAACACGAAAGTTTTGCGATCAAACACAAAAGCATCGAAATATACATTTTTATTCCATTTCATTTTTTTTTTTCTCAATATGACAGAGGCTTAAGAAGGGACATTTTTTTTTACTTTGGCCAATAATCAACTACCTAGCAACACCATACCAACTGCATAGCAACGCCTGGCAACAGCCCACAACACCACAACCCGGCGACTTTGCATAGGCACCAGTTACACTTTCTTGAGAAAATGTTTTGCTAGTGACATTGAATTTACACACAAAGATAAAACAACATCAAAATGCTTACGGTGTTACATTAATCTCTTTCTCTCGTGAAGTCTCACCACAGTTATCCATATCACCTGTTATAGACAAACATGGATAATGCATATTATAATGAGAAAAATACAGCTACTGTAACAATGCATCTAAAATAATTAAGTAAAAATAACTCTTTAATCATCACTATTGTTGTAAAATCTTTAGATAGCATGCCAGTAAATTTGACTGCATTAAGTGAGACTATCAAGCCCCATCTGCAGCAGACTTGACCAAGACGCTCTTGCCTTTTCCATTGATGGCGCTGAAGAGGCCTGATCCCGGGCGTACAGGGCTGAGCATGGGTAGAGGGGTGTAGGGCACGTCGTCCCCCATGCTGCTCACCGTCCTGAGCTGACTGTGGAAGAGCACGGTGCCTCTGGACTCCTGACTGGTGCTGGGCGGAGGAATCATCAATGGGACCAGACAGCGGCGGTACCTCTTTTTCACCACCTTTGGTGCACATTCTCCATCCGAGACAGATCTCTTTATCTAGAATGTGTTATGTGGGGTGTGAGGTTCAGTTATCATTCCAGTCTGTCATATTTACATGATTTAATCATGCACATCCATTCCACATGAAGCAGTTAAGGGATAGTTCACTCAAAAATTAAACCTAAAAACAACACTTCATAAACCTGTATGCGTTTCTTTCTTCTGTTGAACAGAAAAGGTGATGCTTATTTATTTTATTTAGTCATTTAGCAGACGCTTTTATCCAAAGCGACTTACAAATGAGGACAATAAAAGCAGTCAAAATTAACAAAAGAGCAACAATATAACAATGATGTCAATGTTGTTGGTGTTGATGTCAATGGCTACCATCAACAGTTAGGTTACCAACATTCTTCAGAATATTTTCTTTTGTGTTCAACAGAAGAAACAAACTCGTACCGGTTTGGAACAACATGAGGGTGAGTAAATGATGACATAATTTTCATTTTTGGGTGAACTATCCCTTTAAGAAACACAAGCGTAATTTGTAGACATCATCAAATTAAGTTATTTTGAAGTGACCAAATTAGGTAGCACATTTTAGCATGCTAAATGCTAAGTCTGCTCAAATTCTTCACCACAATGGTAACCCATTGTAATTGAAATGGTTCTAAATCCCAACATAATTGAACTTTAAGCACTATCAAGTCTCTCCTGTTTCCCATCTTGCTCAAAAACACAAAAAATAATACTCAGTTTCAGCATTTTTACTCTTCCCCATTACGTCCCGTGCAAAATGTGCAGTTTCAGTTATGTCAACATCAAAAATCATTATTGAGTGTTTGCTTTGTTTACATGCGCCCTACTGGTTTGTGCATTTTAGAGGATTACATTAACTGAAAGCAAAGAAATCGAGTTTAGAAGAGAAACATAATTTTGTTTTATAGATCAAATAATATGATTAAATTGGGCAATCTGTGTGCAGTAGTCAAATACCTTGTGATATTATTTGTGAAGCACATTTTACTTACTTTTATTTATGCATTTCCAATTTAAACAAAGCTGGGCAGGATATATTAAAGTGCTCATTGCATTATTTTTCATGATGAAATCAATTTACAGTTCTTTTTTTATTTTAATGGAATATTGCCGTGTTAATTGTAAATTATTTATCCGTGCACATCATTATTGCAACGTTCATGTGCCCTTGTAATTTTTAATCAAAAAGGTGGCATAAGAATCAAGTTTACATTTAAAAACCACTTTGAGCATCAGCAGTCTATAAATTCTCAGAATGCTGAAGTGATGTTTCAGACCTTGATGTTAAAGCTTTTAATTTTCTAAAGAGCTGTTAAAAATAACTATGAATGCCAGAAACTCACACAGGAAGGGTGGTTTCGTAGAGATGGGAGGGGTGACTGTGCACCAGTCTTAATTAAACCATTTTGTTCATTATCTTTCTGGTGGCACAGAAGGCTGAGCGTGAGTTTGGTTGGGGTCTGGTTGTCCTTGACAGGTACTGACACAGGTAAGAGGATGGGGTTGCTTTGAGCAGCTTCAGACAGATGAATGTGCCCGTCTCTCTGTTAAAACAAAGAAAGAAATATGAAGCAATGGGGCAAATCAGCATGCAGTTTTTCACAAACCACCTCACTGATGATCAAAATGATGGTTCGTACCATTTTGAGGGGTGTGGGGTGTGTCCGCAGTCCTCCATGTGAGCGCATGTGACCATTCAGAGCCGGGAGACTTTTGAACTCCCTGTGACAAACGGTGCATCTCATCTTTGCATGAGATCCGTCCTCTCTCGAAAACCCAGGTTCTGCTCTACAGAAATCCAAATCCACATACTATATTAAATATAAATAATATGAGTGGAGCATTGAGTTTTTTGTTCCTTGCCAGAGTTGCCTTTGGTTTGCACACTAGGGAACTAAAGATTTTATGTTCTACACTGAAAAACAATTGGTGTAGAAACTATTTTAACTCAAAAAATTACAGAGCAGCAATTATAAGAGCAGCAAGTAACACTAATGAATTTTTGAAATAATATATTTTTAAACATACACCAATAATCCAGTGATACACATGACCAAACAGTAATAATGGTTGTCACTACACCAAATAACAATTGAATAACAAAACCTCAGGTTTCATAATTCTCAATATCACCAGATGACAAATTAATAACTGGGAATAATCAATGAATTATAAATTAATAATGAATTATACAATTACTTTAAGTAGATCCAACCTTATATTATTATATCCAGCATTTTGTCACAAAATGTAACTATACAGTTAAATGTAACACCCAAGTAGGATATATAAGCATGTCTAACTTTATTTGCAGACATATTGTATACTCACATAGGGCTATACATTCTATACAGCAAATATCATCTGCTTGATTGTTTATAATCGTCGCAAAATGTGAACTTTATTATCACCCAGCTCTAATTTGCTAAATGTGATTATAAGGCATTAATATACTGGTATTATAAACATTAGCATCACAGTTTTCTGTAAAGCTGCTTTGAAATGTGTATTTAGAACACGCTCTATACAAATAGATTTGATTTGACTAAATGGATAGAAGTAAGGTTAGAGTCAAACCTGAAATGAGGTGAAATGGCCTCATCTTGAATATCTGGTGAAGGTGTCTGCAAGGTATTTATGAGAAACCTTTAACATAAATGCAAATGACTCTAAAATGAACTAATACAAATAAAAAATACAGTACCTGTGACCACTGAGGTGCATGTGCGGTGCGATGATGAAAAATATCCCCCCTCATAGTCATCTGTGGAAGAGTTTTACAGACCCCTGAGCTCCTGTTTTGGTAAAGTGGGCTGCAGAGGTCTTCACTTCGGTGAGGAAAGTTGAAAGCAGATTGGTCTTCTTTGGGACTCGAGAAAACGGGTGTGTTGGGTGCCGAGTGATGACCATCGCTAAACATGTTGTTTTGCTTTGCAGGGATTGATTGCACATTATCTTGCACGAGGTAAGGATTGCCAGGTTGGGAAAGCGATCGAAGATGTTGTTGGTCTTGATAATGGAAGATCTGCTGCTCCGGGACTTTAAAGTCTTGACAGTGGTCGCAGGTTGGCGATTGAGCAGGTTCATGAGAGTCCAGGTGAGTTTTATGTGCAAATATCCCTCTTTGTTGTTGATTCAAGGCCATCGGATATGGCATTGGGTGACTTTGATAGCCGTGCTGATGCTGCCAGGAGCTCTGTGGCTTTTGGAGACTCCTGTTTACCTGCTCCATGTTGTTCACTTTCTGTTTGTGTTGCTGGGATCCATAGTGAAACTGTTGGTGGTTTTGGTAAAGGCCGTGCAATGAGTTTTGGCTTTCTGATGGATGGAAGCCGGTCTGATCGCATTGACCTTGAATGACCATTGGGTTAAAAACCGGAGACTCCAAAGGTTGCCTGTCTGATCCTTCTGGGAGACTTTGAGGCAAGTGCAAAACCCCTGAAATGTGATTTTCTGAGTGCTTATCATCTGTCCTGTTACTATCACCAAATAGAAGTTGCATGTTTTTCGTAGAGAAGGCCTTTGAGAACGAGTCCAACCTGTAAGGATGAGAAGCACTGCCGTTGTCTTTGCAAGTCAGTGATAAGTTGTTTTGAAACGTGATGTTAAACGGGTAGATTTCGGGTAGTTCTTCATGAGAAGAAGATCCCCATGATGATGTCCTTCCAAACTGGTTATATTCCCAAGTCCCGCCGCTGTTTGGCATCTCAAGCATTGGAGAAAGTTCATGTCCTGGAGTGCCAGGAGATGTTATCTGCTCGTGGTTGAGTCGCGGAGACATTGGAGATGACTGGATCGAGCTCACATTTGGTACGCCATAGTGAGGTGCACCCAACGCGCTTGGGCTGTGCTGGAACAAATAGGTCCCGTTGGCGTGGTTGGTGAACTGATTCGTCTCGTACAGGTTTTCTGTCATCTTTAGAAAGATTAAAGTGCCACTTCTGTACCGTTAAACTAATGGTTTGAGGGGACGTGATTACATGCTGGTTTCAATGTAACTATGAAAGACATCAAACGTTTTCCATCATTCGTTATTTGCACAGACTCTCAAGTTGTTGTCTTCACACATTCAGCTCTCAGCAGATTTCTTTAATTGTTTTTTCCTATAAAACAAGACCGAGCAAGTTGTTATATTTGCTAAAAATTAGAAAGACAAACATTTTAAGAATAACCTGTTATATGCACAAGAAGACTAGGAACCTGTGTTACGATGTATGCTGCCATTCAAAAGTTTAAGGTTAGTAAGATTTTTTTTTTTTTAATTAATGTTTTTTTTCAGCAAGGATGCATTAAATTAATCAAAAGCAAATACATTTATAATGTTACAAAAGCTTTCTATTACAAATAAATGCTTCTTTTGAACTTTCTATTCATTCTAAAAACATATCACCGTTTCCACAGAAATATTAAGCAGCATGACTATTTAAATCATTGATAATAAATATAAATAAACAACTTTTTTCAAAACTGATAATAATCAGAAATGTTTCTCGAGCAGCAAATCAGCATATTATAATGATTTCTGAAGATCATGTGACACTGAAGACTGGAGTAATGATGTTGAAAATTCAGCTTTGCATCACAGAAATAAATTACATTTTACAGTAAATTACAATAGAAAACTTATTTTAAAGGTGACATATCATGAAAATCTGATTTTTCCAGGTTTTAAGTGCTATAATCAGGTCCCCTGTGCATCTACCAACCAAGGAAACGTGAAAAAGATTAACCCAGTAACTTTGTTTAGGGAAGCCTTTTTCTGCAAGCGTCTGAGAAAACGAGCGCCTGATTTCGCTCCCTTGGTGACGTGGCAAAGGGATCTCATTATAATATTACCGCCCCTTAATCTGTAAGTTTACACCCACAGCGCCTTCATTTTGATTTCGCAAGCGACACCGGTGTACCAGCTCTAATGCCATGGCCAAGGTTTGAGCAAAACACGCTAACTGTTCTGTCTTTGGCTGCACAGACGAGCACAGAACACTATTTACAGTCCCAGCCTCAGAGGAGACAACAGAGCAGTGGATTTATTGATTTATTTACTGTATATTGCTGCTGCCACACAGATCTAAAATAAACATGCAATTTATTTCCCAGCTGTTTATCTTCACAGACATAACCGACTGTTTTTTGTAACTCGTATGTTTTTAACTTAAATTTGTGTGTGAATGAGAACTTAGTTTAGTACTCACATGCTGTGACAGCCGCTTTCTGTCCGTGTGCTTCGGATGTGTGCACTCAGAAAACCGTATATCTGAAGTTTAAACTCATATGGTTTAAAACGCATGATTTCAGCATGATAAACATGAAAATCAGAACCAAAACAGATGTTTTTAGCAGGTATGAGCTATAATGGCACAGCTCTATTCTGGAAAAGGGGGCGGGGAGCAGCAGCTCATTTGCATTTAAAGAGTCAGGCACGAAAAACAAGTGTGTTTCTGCTTCCACTCAAAATAGGCATTTTTAAAATGATATAATAAATGATCTGTGGGGTATTTTGAGCTGAAACTTCACAGACACATTCTGGGGACACCAGAGACTTATATTACATATTGTAAAAAGGGCCATAATATGTCTTCTTTAAATTGCAATAATATTTCACAATATTACTTTTTTTAACTGTATTTTTGATCAAATAAATGCAGCCTTGGTGAGCATACGAGACTTCTTTCAAAACATTTTTAAAATCTTACCGACCCCAAACTTTTAAATGGTAGTATTTCCTGTTGACTTGTTCACAGTTTATTGCCATTTTATTTTTTTCAAACACTTCTCAAAGCCTAGATTGTGTCTAAGATAAATTTTTTCATTTTTCATACAGAAAGGAATCTTTCTTTAGCAAACTAATAATATCTTATTTTTCCACCCACAGCAGAGACAGTAAATTCACACCATGACTCAGTCTGAGGCTTCCTCTCACATCTAGAATATGAAGTTCAGACACCATCTTATCACTTCCTGTCACATGGTCTGCTTAGAGCATAGGACGGCAGTTTGATCTGTATCTAAGCTTTTTGAAAGATGCTGCTGTCCTAAAAATCCTTTTTACATGCAGAAACATGTTCACATAAATAATAATATATCTCAAAGGAAAACTATGATGATTAAATGCATTAAAAATGTACTTGCAAAAACTTTTTCCACCTCTAATGTATTACCTTTCTGAGGTTTGTTTTACAAAACAATATGCACAAATGTGTAGAAATGCATGTACTTTTACCCATGTGTGCTTTAGAAAGGCCAAGTGTTGAGTGTGTTGTTTGAAGAAAGTCTGCAGACAGATCAATGGTTCAACTCTCTGAATCAGATTAACACAGCATCTCAGTGTCAAAGGCTCAAGTGTGCTTTGCGGTTTCGAAAGTTTCCATCTTCACTTTAGTGTTTGCTGAGTGTGTGAAGCCGTCAGACTCTGACCAGTGAGTGGAACAAGGCGACTGTTAGACCTTTAGAAATAAACTTAAAAGCGATGCATGTGTAGCAACTAACACAACTGAAAGATCTGTACTCTCTTGAAAAAAGTCTCTACTGAGGCACAAAATCAACTCAACCCTCATCTGTTAAAAAAAAAAAAAATCAAATCAACCTTTGAGTTAGTCAATTACATTTACATTTATTTATTCAGCAGAGGCTTTTATCCAAAGTGGAGCAGCATCTCGTTTACTCTCACGTTTACTATGGCACAGTTACAGTAGTTACATCAGTTGATTTACTAATATCAACAAGTATAAAATTAGTCTTTAGTTTTAAATCCAGTTGGAATTTGTTCTCTGTCAAATTGTTGTAGTGGATTGTTGGAATTTATCACGATGATGATAATTCTAAGACAGTATCAAATTATTATTGTAGCTCAAAAGTGACCGTTTTTGTTGCCTGAAGTTTCTAAGCATGAAATTATAGATGCCTTTTCTCATTTATCCTGACATCTGCGTTTTTATTAATAGAATCAAATACTTTTTCATATTGGAATAATCTGCGTTTGCATGATATTTACATTGCATCAACTCTTGTGCGCGCCCAGGCGCAAATGAAATGTCAAAAATAATGTTTTTATGCCAGATATGACTGTTATTTGTTCATTTCAACATTAGTTGAGTAACTTGTTGAGTTGCATCTCAACGGGTTCATTACGAGCAATCTGAGCTTTATCCACTCTTGAGGTAAACCCAGCTTATCTAGTGCTCATATCAGTACAGTCGGCTATTAAAAACACATGTGATGTGTGTTTTCAGTTACAACCATTTTTAGAAACTGCAGCTTACATATATGGCTCAACAGACTCATTACCATGTCAGTCTGTGCAATGGTTGAGTGCTTTAAACCATATCTGTACATATAACGCAATCAAAGCTTGCAACACCAATCCGCAACCCCACTGAGGTCAATGCATGCAAGATCATATGGACTGACAGTATTGCTTTTTTATTCAGTTTGTTATCTGTTTTTAAAATGGTCTTGACATCTTTAGAAGATGCACATGTTGCATGTATTTTAGTGATTAAAAAAAGTGTGAAAAAGACAAATACTAATGCTTACCTTCCTTGTTTCTTTATGTCTGTAATGCACTTTTTTAGTAAAGGCCGCCCTCTCAAATTGACCCATCAAGATGCACTGAATACTATATAAGACGCTCTGAATATCATAACAAACATAGACCAGTCCAACTGCACTGCAGATAAAAAACAATAACTCAAAGGCACATCAGAAATAGGAAGTAAGTTCAGTTCATACTGCTGACTAAGGAATTATGCCAGTGTCCTCTTATAGCTACGGCAAGTGTCTAAAGGCCTGAGATGGTTCAAGGAAGTTCAGGAAATGTCATCTTTCTCTTTAAGCCGAGAGACTTCCGGGGTTTAACCACAAGCTATTTTCTCAACCTGCTATTATTTGTCTGTAAACTGCTGGAGGATAAAAAGAGCGTTTTCAGTATTACATTTTGCATGGAAATCTGCCTTAGAACTGGTACTGTCAGATTCACTGGTCCCTAGTGGCATTGTTATTATACATGGTTATAGATGCAATGTGCATCTTTGAATCTAATCAAATGTAAATGTAAATTATGGTTGTCTTATTCTTGTTTTAGCACGTATTGTCAGCGTGGCCACAATTCTCCTTTCAGACATGATGAGAAAGGTCATGTTTCTGTGAATGTGTGCTGTGGTGAACGCATGCTGGCAGAGATTTGCTGCCATCAACAGTTTCATAGTGAATAATGGTGCGATATGAACTCGTAGTCTCTTTTAAAGGAATAGCTCTCCCAAAAATGAAAATTTGCTGAAATGTACTCAGGCCATCCAAGATGTAGATGAGTTTGTTTCTTCATGGGAACAGATTTAGAGGAATTACATCACTTGCTCTCCAATGGATGCTCTGCAGTAAATGGGTGCCGTCAGAATGAGAGTCCAAACAGCTGATAAAAACATCACAATAATCCACAAGTAATCCACACCACTTCAGTCCATCAGTTAACGTCTTGTAAAGTAAAAGGCTGTGTTTGTAAGAAACAAATCCATCATTAGACCCATCACTTCCGTCTAAAATACCATAATCCAAAATATAGCTTTCTTTAGCGAGAAAGTTGTCTCGCCTGAATCAGGAGATAAACATGCACAGATCAAGCACTATTTACTATTAACAAAAACAGCTCTAAACAAATATGTTGGTGGATTTTGATGTGAGAGGAGAACAGGTGATGGATGTTTTCAACTGTTTGAAGTGTTATAATGGATTATGGACTCCTATTTTAGCCAGAAGCAGCGGTTTACAATTAAAGCATCTTATTGATGGATTTTTTTGGGGGGTGTCTTACAAATACACAGCTTTTCACTTTACAAGATGTTAATTGATGGACTGGAGTGGTGTGGATTATTGTGATGTTTTTATCAGCTGTTCGGCACCCATTCACAGCAGAGGATCCATTGGTGAGCAAGTGATGCAATGCTACATTTCTCCAAATCTGATGAAGAAACAAACCCATCTACATCTTGGATGGCCTGAGGGAGAGTATATTTTCATTTTTGGATAATCTATTCTTTTATTTTTTAAGAATTCTGTGTGCTTTACATGTGAATAAATCATGTATGTATAACTGAATATGAATTTTATATTTCTGTTTACTTATGTTGATGCTTACTTGTAGCCCGGTTTTTGTCCAGAGAACAGAAGATTTGCGGTGCCATCTTACTAATCTCCATATCAAACCAGTAAATTAAAATTATACAATGCATATAAAATCTTTAGATAAATACCTGCCACATCCATCTGTAACTGATCGCAAAAGTTATGTCAGGGGAATCTTGCACGTACAGTCTTAGATATATATGGGCGAGAGCCATTTTTGTTATACAGAAAAGTTGTTGCATTAATTAAACAGATACTGACTGCGTGAGCATGCATGAGAATTTTCTAATATTAATCAGAATTGGGTCATATTATCGTTATGGTTGCAACCTGTTTGCTATAATGTGCAAATTATGTGCATGCAAACATGGTCACTTTTCAATTCACAATTAGCTAAGTGTCATTAGTTCTCAGCTATTTTCTGTCTTCTCATGTCCTCCAATATTTTCAATTACATTTGAATTAAAAATCAATTTATTGTGCAGCACCAAACTTTTTACCTAAGATTCCATATAGGCCTCATTTAATTAAAAAAAAACTTTTCAAAGTCTTCAGCTTAGAAATAATGAAACATGTTTTACTTGCAGTGGGGTTTTCATCATCAACATTTTATCTGATCATAAAGTTGCACCTGTTAACTGAAAACTTGTGTTTCCATCTGCAGTTAAATGTACAAACTGATGCAGTTTAGTGCATGTTATGAGTTCAAATATAGGAAATAGTCAATCGGAACTAATAATATTTAATTAAAGGAAGGAATAAATTAATTTCAGAATTTGCAGAATTATTTCAGAACACTCTAATTAGAGCGAAGGTTATAAAATTATATTTTTATGAGCCTAAAGGAGATTTAAATCAAGATACTTTCATAATCTGCTTCCATTTTTGAGCATCATTAAATATAGTGGTTGAGGTTTACAAAAACTGCCGTAGAAATGAAAAGTACTTACCTTTTTAGAAAGTGAAAGGAGACGTGATGAAGCTCTGGATAGAGTTCATGCTTCATCTTTCAGCTGAAGGATCCAGTGATCACATGACACACACACACACACGCTGCCATCAGCTATAAAAACGTTTTTGTTTCCAAACTAGCAGTTCAGTTTTCAAGAGCTGAAATCCATATGAAAAGATGTAATTCGGTGAAGAGATCTACACTGAACGTCAGCAGTGCCCTCTGCTGTAAAACACACTTCCGTATAATCAACATCCTCTAAACACAGTTTCAGTATGACACACTGACACTTTTTCTGATTAAAACCACCAAACGTTAACATAAGCGTTTATTTGTTTTTACTTAATACAAAATATGTGTTGTTGTTGTTATTTTTTTCCTTTTCAGCAAAACAATAATAATAATAGAAGAAATCTATATAATAAACATATTATTATGTTCATTATATTAATTTCTTCAATTTACATTTCAAACAGTTCTCACACATAACACAAAATATTATTATATTATATTATTACCGAATTTTAGACAATGTATAATTTTTATTATTATTTTTTATTATTTGATATATTATTATTATTTTGTGTTTTGTCTGAGAACTCTGCAAAATATGTAAATTGAGGAAATTTAATATAATTAACATACTAATAATAGATATTTCCTCCTCACATGTAACTCAATTAAAAATCATTCATGAAAAGTTGCAAGACTTCAGTCAAAGAAATGTTTTTTTTTTTCTAAACAGAAGAGATTTTGTACCAGGGTTAAGTGTAGATAAGAATGCATGTCTTGCCTGGCCACAATTATAATAAAAGATTGAAACCCCATTTTTGAGGACATTTATGAAAAAAAAATATCCTGACAATTATAGTAAAATGTCAAAAACCAGCTTTTGAGGACATTCATAAGGGAAAAAATCATCACAAATATAGTAACATGTCGAAAATCACCTTTTAAGGACATTCATAAGGAAAACATATCCTGACAATTATAGTAAAAAGTCGAAAACCAGCTTTTGAGGACATTAATTGGGAAAAAATATCCTCACAATTATAGTAAAATGTCGAAAAACAGCTTTTGAGGACATTAATTGAAAAAAAATATATCACAAATATAGTACAATGTTGAAAACCAACTTTTGAGGACATTCATAAGGAAAACATATCCTGACAATTATAGTAAAATGTTGAAAACCAACTTTTGAGGACATTCAAAAGAAAAACATATCCTGACAATTATAGTAAAAAGTCGAAAACCAGCTTTTGAGGACATTAATTGGGAAAAAATATCCTCACAATTATAGTAAAATGTTGAAAAACAGCTTTTGAGGACATTAATTGAAAAAAATATCACAAATATAGTAAAATGTTGAAAACCAACGTTTGAGGACATTCATAAGGAAAACATATCCTGACAATTATAGTAAAAAGTCAAAAACCAGCTTTTGAGGACATTCATAAGGAAAACATATCCTGACAATTATAGTAAAAAGTCAAAAACCAGCTTTTGAGGACATTCATAAGGAAAACATATCCTGACAATTATAGTAAAAAGTCAAAAACCAGCTTTTGAGGACATTCATAAGGAAAACATATCCTGACAATTATAGTAAAAAGTCAAAAACCAGCTTTTGAGGACATTCATAAGGAAAACATATCCTGACAATTATAGTAAAAAGTCAAAAACCAGCTTTTGAGGACATTCATAAGGAAAACATATCCTGACAATTATAGTAAAATGTTGAAAACCAACTTTTGAGGACATTAATTGGGGAAAAAATATCCTCACAATTATAGTAAAAAGTCGAAAAACAGCTTTTGAGGACATTAATTGAAAAATATCACAAATATAGTAAAATGTTGAAAACCAGCTTTTGAGGACATTAAAAGGTAAAAAAAATATCATCACAGACAGTAAAATATTGAAAACCAACTTTTGAGGACATTCATAAGGAAGGAGGACCTCAGAAATAGAGCTTGTGATGTAATTTCTGTGATCTGTGTGTGTGTGTGTGTGTGTGTGTGTGTGTGTGTGTGTGTGTTTGCAGCAGCAGCTCTGATGAAGTGGTGTGAAGTTTGAGGAAGTCAGTGACACACGTGGGGTGTGTCCAAAACACTCACGTCAGGTCTTCAGCACACA